GAATTTAGGAACTTTTTCCCCCCAAAGCAAGACTAGAATTTTTTTTTATCTAATTGATACTTACTTGGATTTTAGTCCAACTCAAACCTGTATTGAGTACTGTCTACCGATTCCCTAGGGAAATTAGTGTATTGACACTTTTCATCAAAGTTTTCTTATTCGCAGAGAGTGACGCTTGAAAAGAAAATTTAGAACTTTCGACAAAAAATTGATCATCAATGAAATGGTTACAGCGGATTTTGAAAGTATTTGATTAAAGAATAAATGCTTTTATTTCCAAGAATAAAATCACATTTTTCTGTTTCTCTCTGGAAGAACAAAAGTGAACTTGACGTCTTTTATCGAAAAATAAATAAATTATCACAGTATTCCACACATTAACACTTTAAGCTCTGACCACCGCTTTACCGGTGGTAGAGAAAAATGACTTAACGCCCATCCACCACTTGTAACTATTTTTATATCTACCGTGAAACATTGCATACCAATTATTTGCGAATTTTGACTCAGGATCTCAGAAAGAAGGCTTAAAATTGTTCTGGAACGTAAGGATCAAAGGGTTAATCAGACTTATATGCTTATCTTTTTGTTGTCATCATCATATTTCAATTGCTTTTTTATTCAAGCCCAATCAAGGGCATATATTTTAGAATAACGTATCGAAGGTGTGAATTCCCTAATCTTTTCAATTCCTATATATTATGCGCGTCGCCACTGCTACGTCTGCCTTCTTAATTTCTGTGTTTCTATTTGAAATATACCTGAGAGAAAAAGAGATAAATTCAAAATTTTCACAAGTGGATTTACGCAGAGTAATCTTGTTTTGGTCGCTGACTACTTTCGTATTCGACTGTTGTCGTCCGACATCGACTGACATCAACTGCCCGTCGTTTCTCTTACTACTCCTACTTATATTAGGTGGGAGAGTTTATTAATTATAGAATAGGTGTGTTTCACCATAACAGAAAGCGGATGTAACAACTTGGCCGGAAACAGATTTCCTTCCGAATGAATATCCATTAAAATCCTCTCACACCCTTCGGTCGCATATATTCTTCGGCCTTTATATTCTTCGAATTTTGTCACACAAATGTAGCATGCTAACGATCACGAATGTCGTCTAAATTAAAATCTAATAAGCAATTTCTTTTTGAAGGTGGTCTTGCAAAACTATTTTTATCATCGATTTTATCATTAGAGTCCATTCTTAACTCTGCTGTTAAAATCTCGAACTTCGAACGAAACATACAGTTAGAATTAAAACGCAGTGGGTAGGTTTTGTTATGGAGTACAGACATCTTTCCCAATCGTCCATGCTTACGACCCTCAAGGGAATTCCTTCACGCCATTGATATGTATTCCCCTGTACGAGAATAGATATGTGATGCATTATAAGCAGATTCTAGTCTTTAATCAAATAAACAAACACAGATAGATAGATGGGTTTAACATTTCAGCATATGCTGAATCACTTCATATCGAATTCGGTGCCGTTTTCTTTTTTCAGAACTACATTTATATATATATATATATATATATATATATATATATATATATATATATGTGTGTGTGTGTGTGTGTGTGTGTGTGTGTGTGTGTGTGTGTGTGTGTGAGTAAAAATTAACGTCGTCGTTTATGAGGCACTATTCAACTTCCCTTGATCAAAGACGCACTTTGCTAGATCTAAGGCCGGTTTCACCTGCCAAGAGGGGGGCAGGTTCGAATCTTATTGAAGATCACATATTTTTCTTTAATAAGTAACATCCCGAGACGTCATCAGTTTTATCTAAAACTTGATAGACTATTTCTACAATAATCGTTAGTACATCAGAAGTTGACTTAAAGGATCGAAATCCATGTTCCTTGTCTGAAAGAAGGCTGTGCAATGGAAGGTGGTTAACCATTTCAGAATTGATTAGAGCCAATAGCATTTTGACAAAAAAAAGGTAGAAGGCTAATAGCCCGATATTTCGATGTGTCAGACGGTTTACCGAGGTCTTAAAAATAGGAATAACAGAGGATGACTTCTAACAAGCATAAAGCGAGAAAGCAGCGTGTCATTTATTTTACAGTTTAGAGAGAACAGGAACCAGTTCTAAAGCACATTATTAAGGACTATTAGAGGATGCTATAAGGATCCATAGTTTGCGGCTATCCACATTAGAAATGATAAACAAAGATTTTCTGGTGTCTGCTAATTTAATTTATAGTCCCAGTTATTATTATATATATATATATATATATATATATATATATATATATATATATATAGTTTATTCAAATTTAGGTAATCCGTATGGGTAGACCTGAGGAGGATGATATCAGAGAGCTCAATGTAAAATTCAGAGCATATATGTTTGAATAAAAGACAGACTACGTTAAGATTCCATGTAATAAGCTATTTCACCACAACCCCTTTAACAGGGTTCTGGATCATCAGACTTTACTTCCAAAAGCTGAAATGAAGAATGAAAAGAAAATTCACACGTTTTTTACGGACCTCATCAAGTATACGCAAAGTTAACGAAGTGAGGAAGTGAGGTGGGAGAGAGGATATGAGTGTGTCATATGTATCATTTTAGTTTCCTATTTTAACCCCAGTGTGTCGGCGGGATGTTGCTCAAATCTAACGCGTCTCGTCTCTAGATAAAGGTGGTTAAGGGGTGGGCGATAAGGGCTACATTACGGAAGACGCGTTACAATAGCCCCAATAAATTACACGACAGGTTTCATTCAAATTCCTAGACGCTGTCAGTTCGCGTTACTTTAACGTGCATATTTGGGAGGTTAAGGTTTGCTAAATATCTAAAATTTTAAAAACAATCTACGAAGAAATTAATTTGAAATTCGGTGGAGTTTTGGGTATTTCCTATGAAGCAGTCGATTGGAAATATCTATAGACAGAACATTGAAAGAGTAATCCAATTTTATTTAGTACCTTTTTCCACTAAAGCTTTTATCTTATAGCTTGTTAGGTTGACATTTATTCGTTTGATTTTTGTTCATTAAGTAAACCTGTGATTGTTTTTTGATTTTTGTTCATTAAGTAAACTCGTCGTGGTTGTTTTTAGGCCCTTCTTTTATATTTTCTTATCTACACATATCTTAAACCCCTATTTGTAACCACATACCTATATCGTCTTATATGTCTATGAGTTCCTATATACACCTACACACACATTCCCACGAAACGATATATGTATATTTCCATCTTTACACATATACACCTGCAGAGAGAACGCACATCCACATGTCTCCATACTTGTCTCCATGTATACTTATACTTACACATATATATATACACACAAGGACACCTGCATACCCATATATACTCATACGCACATATATATATCTACACATCCATACGTATACACATATACACATACATACACACACCCATATATGCATACGTACATACATATATATACACACACCCACACATGCATACGCAGTCTGCAGAATATCTATATACCCACATACGTTAATTTGCACTTACATATATCTCTACCTACGTATTTGTCCCTATTCTCATGTCCATCTGTGCATCCACTTATGCCTGCGTTCGAAGACTATCTCAGTATTTAATTACATTATCTATGTCTTTACACATATAATATTACCCGATCTTTCATATTTATGGCAAAACATATAAGTGCCTAACTGTACATCCCCACACTCACAAAAAAAAAAACCGGTATGTCTCTTTTTCCGTATCAAAGCATATACATGTACATATCAACAGGTGTCTCAGTGTGCAAATACATTATCATAGTTGTATATATACAGTCATCTGTTAGTGTCCACTTGTGCATAGTAATATTTCTAAAAACAAAGGGAATATAAAACATTAAAAATTGCTGTTCCTATATGATTATTTCTTAGTGTACTTACTTAGGTTTAGGTTGTTTTTGTGTCGGCATTTAAACACTAGTTCATTATGTTTATTTAGCAGTATGTCTGGATCTTTATGTTTGATTATGAAGATTTTCTCCTTCAAACATAAGTTGCATCTGTCTCTGAAGTTTTTGGGAGTTCTGGCTCTTGATATTATTCTCCACTTTATTTGTGGTGTTAGGCCACTCTCAATAAAAACCAATAATGATTTGATAGTGCTGTTTGTTTTTTTTTTACATTTATTTTTGAAGGATTGGCGATGGTTGTATAGTCGGTGTTTCCAATCTCCCGCTGATATTCCAATGTATATCCTTTTCTCTTCAACCTTTTCTTTGGGAAAAATTGTTGCTTCATATATTGTGTTCTCTGCCATGCATATTCCCTCAACTGGGCACTCTGATCCTGTCCTGCAGTTGTATGTTGATTTTTCCATTCGTGTTGTATCCTGATCTTGTCTTAGATTATCCTGAAGGTCTTTTACTTGATGAGGTCCGTAAAAAACGTGTGAATTTTCTTTTCATTCTTCATTTCAGCTTTTGGAAGTAAAGTCTGATCCAGAACCCTGTTAAAGGGGTTATGGTGAAATAGCTTATTACATGGAATCTTAACGTAGTCTGTCTTTTTTTATATATATAATATATATATATATATATATATATATATATATATATACAGTTAAAAGTCTGAAGAAACCTCTAGAAATATCATGGGATTAACGATTAAAGAATGCAAACAATTATCAAACATACTCCGAGAAACTTTTGCAACGAATGCTAAATGTATGTGCTGCAATAATCAAGGCTAAAGGATATTTTGACGAGAGCAAAATTTAATCATAAATTTTTTTTCCTTTTTATCATAATAAAATCTCTAAAAAAATCATGCCTTACTTTTTTTAACTATGCATAATAATTCTATCTTCTTTACAGTACAGAACAACTACTTTTTGGGCCAATATAGAAAATTACCTGGGGTCTCTTTAAATACTTGAACTATAGTGTGTGTGTGTGTGTGTGTGTGTGTGTGTGTGGAACAATTTTCACGTAGGAAATACCTCAGATATCCTCTCTTTGAAATATCGATCCACTTCTTTTATGAAGGCCAACGGGTCATATACAGATTAATATAAAGAAATAGATAGATAGATAGATAGATAGATAGATAGATAGATAGATAGATACCACTGTAGAGTTTTAATACGTACTCTGGCAGCAAATATTCTTACAAATTTTTACATGTTTTGAATTTAATTTGTGAGCTTCTGGGAGAAACCTATGCATATAAGAGCAGGTCTGTGCCTTCCATGCTAATCTTGGACAATTTACAAAATATAGCAGATTAGCTTTCCTTGATGAAATAATGAAATACAAATATTCTATGTAATTGACTTGTATCCGTGTGTATTCAAACATATTCGAGGTGACAATATTTGAATGAAGACAACGTACAGTTTATTCAACTACACAACAAAATGGAAATTTTAAAGTCTTTCTTTGTAAAGAAAGGACATAATGTTTTTTTTTCATAAACAAAAGGAAGAACGACTTGTGAATTTCATATCTGTCAATTATCATCAAATGATGTGATTTTAAATAGAAAATTATATTACAACATTGTCTCTTTTCTGATAAATTAAACGAAAAAAAAAATTAAACGAAAGGAATAAAAAAAATAAAAACCTTGAAACACAAATAAATCCTCGGTAATTTCTTATGAATTGTATGAATGGACAAATTGTTATAAATTTCAAGAATGATTAATCATTTTTAATATCAATTAGTGTTCATTTTCTATTTATTAAAAGATAATACAAATGTTTTTTGATTGCTTTCAAACATTGCATTTTAGATTTTCCTTGTTATTCAATTAATATCTAATTAAAGTTAGCGCCCAAGAACAAAATTATTTTTATGGGTTTTGCTTCTTTTCTTTACGTGCAAATCGTAAAATTTTACCGAAGCTTGAGATTAGAAATCCGCGTGGCGAGTTCGAATTTGCTCATGTTCGTTAACCTCTATTTCACCTAAATAACTCTTGGTGAAAGTCATCTTTTCTCTCCCCATCTATATTTGTTAAAAAAGAAAAGAAGTGTAAACTGGGCTTTCTAGGCGGGACTGGAAATCTGTTGAAAGCTGAAAACTACTGTGAATGAAGATAATTAGAAACGTGTTGCAGATATTAGACTGTAAAACCAAAAGACGATAGAATTCAACAACTATGAAAAATGCTATTGGAAAGCGATTATCCAGAAGGGTGTTGATACCATTGGGTAATTTGCTTAAGTGATGATGAATGGACTTAGTTTTTACATTTTTAAATCATTTTTTATAATTAACATAAAATATTAGACTGAAAAAATAACGATTTTCAATGTACAAATACGTCCCTTGTCACAGAGTTGGAACTGATGCATGGTTTTAAACATTAAAGAAAGAAAGTTCAAGATGATAAAAATTTTAAGTCATAAAACAAAGTAGGCTTTTGGTCAATTTTAAATTTATACTTTGTTTTCAGAGCAGCGCTAAAATAAAAGACTCCATATACAGTCTGGGTAGGACAGTTTATAAATGTCTCAGAGACTTGATTAGAAGTAATTGTATTTCGTCTTATTTATATGGCATTATAATCCGGCTCCTGGGAATTTGGGGCAATTCAAATATGATGATTTAGGGCAGGAAAATCGGTCGAGAAATCGATAACCGATGAAGTGTTTAAGTAATTTTCTAGGTATTGATTTTGATTTCTGCAACAAAATATTTTGCCTTCACAAAAGGAAAATCATTGAGATTTGTTTTCAAAGGTTGGATTCTTAACGAAAATGACGCCGACCGATTAATCTTTTCTGCATTAAGGAAATAGAAAACAAAACATGAACTGGATTTAGGCTCTTAGTTTTAATCATCCGAGGATCTATAATTTCGATGATTACTGGGTCTTTTAAAAAAATCCGTTAGCTCAAGAAATGTTAAACAATAAACATAAGAAAAAGAAATATTTAGTGGAAAGGCACTTCATTCGATGTTTGCAAATGAGGAATAAGCCAGCCAAAAATCAATATATAATGGGATTTGATAGTAAATGTTTCCAATAACTTTCATCCAATATCATTTTTTAATTGAAGGGAACTAACGAAATATTATTTTCTCCATTTTCATTTTGGCATTTCAAGATTCTATTTACGATTCCTTCCAAAGTCAACAATCCTTATATATTTCCCCAAAATAATCATTGACCTGCGTAATGACAGATCATAAATGACACCAGTCTTTAAGTGCGAAAGAATAACGGCCAGCCTCATGCGCGAAAGAATGACAGCTCTCTTCAAGTGCCTAATTTATTACATAAGTCAATATGTTCGGAAGAATGACAGAAATCTTCATGGTGCAGACGAATGACAGCTGTTTTAGTTGTGGACGAATGACAGCAGTGGACGAATGACAGCAGTGGACAAATGACAGCAGTGGACGAATGACAGCAGTGGACGAATGACAGCAGTGGACGAATGACAGCAGTGGACGAATGACAGCAGTGGACAAATGACAGCAGTGGACGAATGACAGCAGTGGACGAATGACAGCAGTGGACGAATGACAGCAGTGGACGAATGACAGCAGTGGACAAATGACAGCAGTGGACATGTGCGGAAGAATGATAGCATTCTAAAGATGAATATTTATGACAGATGTTTTCTGATGTCGATTAATACCCTCCCTCTTCAGGTGCGTAATGAGGACAGCCGGTTTCATGAGCGGAAAAATTGACAGGCGTCTTCAGGTGTGCAAGCAGTCTTTCTTTAGTAAGCCTAACCGATGCTAGCAGTGTTGCTTGTGAGTTTTAATCTATACTACATAGTCCACGGATTTAACTCACATTTTCTATGTCAGCACATTCCCTAGAGCCATCACTATGGTGCTGATAGACAGAACATTTCTGTATCGAAAACTCGAATAAATTAGACTTCAGCAGTCAGAGTAAGAAATAGAAGCGGTAGGCAGGGGAGATCAAGCAAGGAAGCAGCTATGATGGCCTCAGATGTAGCAGTAAACAAGCAATTGGAACAATAGTGTTTTGCAATCATTAACTGGAAAATTATTAGCATTTTTTCAACAACGTTTTCCCGTCCAATACTGACACTTTCGAAAAATTTGTATATCAATTTTGGTGTTTGGGTAATGAACTATGAATTCATATGTTTTTTTTTCCTTGCCAAATGGTTCGGTGAATATATGTTTTTTTGTGCAGTCACTTCAATCTAAAATTATTTCCGTTTTTTTTAATGGTTCAATTGATACTATTCCAGTGGATGCTCTCATCTATATTAGTATGCCACATTCAATTCCTGTGGGTGAATTGATAAATACTATCTATATTAGTAAATTCATTTTTTGCACTGACGTGTTCCTTTCATCGGTAAAAGTGTTTTATTGATATTTTTTAAATAATAGATGCCAGTTTTTTGTTCTTTTTAATAAAAGTGCAATCATAAGTAGGGTTGGATGGACAAAACTTTACAAATTAATGGAATACTTGTTTTTCATATACGATATTTGGGCGTATTTAATCGACTTCTCTTTATAGGCTCACTATATGAACTTTTTCAAAACCCGTAACTACTTGTCTCAAACCTTCGTGTGGGATCATATTGATCGGCTTTAATTACGATTTTGAACTAATGTTTACTTTTGAACGGATTATTGATCTATATATTTTTATTAAATGTTCTTTGTATGGAATTGTAAAGCTTTGATACATTTCGATTTTAATACTGTATGTAGTGATAAAAGTTAATATTTTATCATAAACTATACCAGGAAATATATATTCATTGACCAAAAATGTATTATATTGATCATTTATTTGTACAAGTATTAATGCAATAGACGAGCTAATGCGACTATATTATGAGCACATGTATCTGTCTGAAGTTATTATGCAAATCTGATAAACTTCAATCAGTCAAATTCGCCTTTATTTTTTTTAAATTTAAACGATTTATTTAGACGTTAAAGTAAAGGTTGAGTTAAACTTTTAGGTAGTTCTAACATGTTTTATTAAACTTATTGGATTTATTATAAGAACTACCATGTGAAAGTATTATGCAAACTAGAAAATCACTTTTTTACTTCAATAACAAGCTTACAAAATGATCGACAATTGATCAACACTTAAAACAGAATAAATAAAAACATATATGTCTTTTAAACGTTTACGTCGTAAAATATTGACCCCCCACCTCCTTCCTATTAACAGCCCACAATTTATTTTTATCAAATTCTCGACTTTATTTTCTTCAATTTCCAACATGGAAATTTAAACATTTCGTTCCACATGTCTGTTCTCATATAGTTTACCACATTCATATTCTTCACAGTTAGCCATAGATTTTAGATTGGATTCAGATAGGAGTTGATGGCGGCCATTACATTATCTTCTCTCTTGTAAACTTTTTACACTCCCGAATGACACGTGTAAACTTAGATACATGTGAAAGAGCCTATCCGTGCATCAATCTGCACTTTGAAACTGCGAGTTTGGGGCATGCCCCATTCAAATGAATGCTTATCCATGAAATCACAATAGCACTGTTTATTGTAACTCATTCATTGACTTTGAAAGGTTCAATAATGGTTTAGTTCACAATTCCAATCCCAATCATTGCCCCCTTCTTTAACCAAAGGCATACCTGCATCGGATAAAATCCATCCATTGACACATCCATAAGGTCCATTGAGTGTCATCCGAAGTTCTTTCGTAAAATGACTTTAGAAACGCCATGTTTCATATTTCGTTGCCCAAATTTTAAAATATCTTATTTACTGATAGGATTTTAGCTAAGAGAATCCTTGACAGATCCCAATTTGTGAAGTACTTTACCCCTATTATCTTTCTTGAATCCCCCAATTCCAGACTGTTAAAAGATCTGATCGCTGGTCAAAAATGGTTGTTTTCCTCTAACTCGCCTTGTTTAATGCCCTCCTCGAGTAGACAAGGTCTTTGGTTTTGCTTTTGTGTTCTCAAATTCATTATATTTTCAACAGCCATCTTTATCGTTCTCATGATTTGAGCCGAATTTCTTTGATATATTCAATGTGGAGATTCCCACATTCAATAACTTTATTCTCTCTTTTTTCAATATATGTTAGATCCAATATGCAAAAAAAAGAAAAAAAATATTTCATATGATATCAAATGCCTCAGAATAATATTAGTTTAATCTGCATAACTTCAGATTGCAGACATAATAAATCCAGTAACATAAAACATATTAAAACTACCTAACAATTTTAATGTTAGTTTAAAGTCTAAATTAATAGTTTAAAATTTACCAAAAAAGTTCAAAGCAAATTCGAGTTATTAATGTTTATGTGATTTGTTCAATAAATTCCGACGGACTTCATTTCATTTCATTGTTCAGTATGCCAATAATCTTTCACTCTATGGAAAAGCCGAAAAGAAAAACTAAGTATGCCTTCATTTAGGCTTACCAAACGATTTTTCTATATTTTAATAGAGATTAGCAACTTCCTAACGAGTTTTATTTAAATGTGTCCACTGTTGTCCCTATTTGATCTCCTCGGAAATCTTGAACGCATAGAAATACAAAGAAATAGGATTTAATCTTTATAAATCTTATGCAACAATATGAAGCAATATACATTGTGCAAATTGATTCTGGTCTTTTCTCTCAATAAACATGGCTTTATTGTTCTCATAATAACATCTTGGCCATCATTTTCTTTGCACAATCCGATTCGCTTCTTGACGTTTATCTCATTTACACGCAAAGGTTTCGCGATGCACATGAAATGGATTAATAATAAAATCATCTAAAAACATTCAAAATCTTTTCTTATATTTCTCGTGTGTTTTTAATAAAAGACACCTGAATAATATTCAGTTTACACGTCACCTTCGTTTTCGTTTGGTTGTCGTGCCATTTGTAAAAAAATAGGAATTATAGAATATCTATTTGCCCTTCAGAGTAAAAAGAGAATAACACGAAACCTTTTATTACTGTAAGTAATGAAAAAGACATGGTTATATTTAGTCATTATATATTAAATACATTTAAGGAACGTGTAAAAACTTTTGATGCAACCTCAATTAAAAAAAAGTGATTTTTAAGTATTTTCATTCTCGCAGTTAATACGCTGCCTTATAAATAACTACCATTTTTGTTTATCAATTTTATTCTTCAAAAAATAAACTATTTAAAATAAAATTTAATTTACATATTCTCCATTATTTATAATGACTTCTGGCCATCTAAACCTTCAGCACCTTTTAAGTAAAATCCCGCAGTTGTGATATGGAAAAGTATTCGACGAACTCTTGAAGGTTTCATTAGAGGAATCCTTCCATATCAAAGAGATTTGCTGCGATCAATAATTTAATAATAGGTTGGTTCGTGTTCAATTAATATGACAAGTCGGGCAGAACAGACCACCGACATCCCAATTTTATTTCTTCTGATATTCTTAATGTATGTTACTGTGCGTTTTCATGAATAACGTGTTCGGAGCACTTTTCTAGTAAACTCCCACGGACACGTTACAGCTTCTGGGTGTATAAATGTGCCTGTAGCGTTTTATTGCGCTTTAAAAAAACTAAATGAATCGTCCCCGACGATTCTACCTTACGCACATGAGTACCTTTTGTCCTATAATCCCAGATTTTGAGATCGTTTGTGGAGATGTGTTCTTGTGAAAGCACTGCCTTTTCAGTTGAATACTGTCGTATGTTAGTGTAAATCTAATTTTATTCTAAACCGCCATTACAATTGATTCCCCAAATCGGAAATTACTTATGACTCTCTTAATAAAAAAGATTAGACTTTAAATTGTCTTCAATAGTTCATTTTATATGTTTAATTCTTCTTTCTTCATCAAACTTCACTTCAAGAAGTATATTAATTTGTGTTAATTTACTAAAGTTAATGAGAATGATAAATACAGGCATTTAATTAGATTACAAATTATACAAAGAGATGTGCAAATTGTAGCGGAAGTATACAAATTGCATTCAACATACCTAGATTCGAAGCGAATACGTACAGTTGTTTGTTATTTGAACCTTGGAAGATATTTCTACTTTCAGTTTCTGTAAAATATTCCTGTATCGAAATCAAAACAATTTCCTTTGGAATATTATATATTAACCAACAGGTAAATCGAAAACTTACTGGGATGATGTTAACATATAAAATATGTGAATAAAATACTATCATTAGAAACAAAGAAAAGCGTATTGAACTTTTATGTAATATCAGTCCTCCTGAATGGCAATGAATGCTAGGACAATCTGTTCGCAGAGGAAGAACAGACATGAAGCAACGGCCATGTTGCTCTAAAGAAGGATGCTGAGAATACCATTAAGCAAATCTGTGAACATGATGAAGTTCTAGAGACAATAAAATCAAAAAGGGGCAGACATACTTATCATCAAGAAGAGACCCATAAAGAGGAAAGTGATCTTGGAAAATATGATACTCAAAGGATAAATTGAAGGTAACAGGGTCAAAATAAAGCAACGCGCAACCAAATGCGAATGGATGGTGGAAGAGGTTTTGGTAGTGATAGCAAAAAGACAAATGTTATTAAGAGCTACAATGGAGAGGAAAATGTGGAGAGTCATAAACAGAAATGACATAACACGAGA